TAAATCAACATATTGTGATTATCAATTTCATTTGTGCATTTCACGCATGTTACTCGCCACTAAGTTTTAATATTATCATATATAGATAAAGATGAGATGAAGTTCCGCCGGCCAATTTCTCTAGTCTCAAATCTTACCGAGCAATATATTCCTAAACGAAAGATTTTCACTCGCGTCCAGCTCACAAGCTCCAATCCCCCCACCATCTCAACAACTTTCGCGAACTACCACTCGTATTATTTCAGCCTGTTCTGCTAGCATCTATGACAAATACGACATACGCATATACGCTCTCTTATGACACTATTTGTCATAGGAAGAATCTTCCTATGACAAATACGACATACGCATATACGCTCTCCTATGACACTATTTGTCATAGGAAGATGCTTCCTGTGATGTTGTATGTGTTGCGCGCATCATAGGAGTTTAGGAGCGCTATTATGAACGCAGGCTGTGAATTTCAGCTGTAAAGCGGAACGAAGTTGACTCGCCAATATTTGTAATAGGAAGAATCTTCCTATGACAAATAGCGTCATAGCAGACCGTATATTGCAAAAAAAGGCTAACTACCTGGCTTTACCCAAGCTAGGTCACACCTCATGGCTAGCTATAGCCCTGGACGTTTATTCCTTACGGAATGTCCCTGCGTTATTATCCACGTAACCGTGGGCTACGCAGTAAACTATCCAGATCCAGATCCAGGTATGCGTATGTCGTATTTGTCATAGATGCAAGCAGAACATGTTGATTATTACCGTCACTCGCGTAACGTCATCGTCGTCGTCATCGTCGTCGTCGCGTCGTGACGTCACCACCGCTGCTTCTCGTTTGCGCACAGATGCAGGGTGGCGGCTGGCCGCCGTCGTCGGCGCACCACATGATGGCGGCGGCGGGCATGCAGGGCTCGTGCATGGCGCCGCACGTCAACATGCCCAACTTCATGGGCGTCGTCTCGCAGCAGCAGGGCCAGCTGCAGCCGACGATGTCGTCGACGTCGATGCAGGTCCAGCAGATGGCGCAGCAGGCGCCGATGACGTCGACGATGCCGATGACGTCATCGATGCCGATGACGTCGATGCCGCTCGGCTACGCGCCGCCGGTGGCGGCGGCGGGAGAGTGCGGGCTCGGCGGCGGCGGCGGCGGCCCTGGTGTCGTCGATACGGACCGTCGGTCGTCGAGCATCGCCGCGCTGCGCTGGAAGGCGCGCGAACACCGCGCCGCCATGGCCGGAGTGTTCGGCATGTACGGAAACTGCAACTGACCAGCGTCGCAGGCGCGGTGGCGCCCCCGCGCGTGCCGGCGGGTGTAAGTGGAAGGTGAGGGAGGTGGCAGCAGCAACGCTGCAAACTGATTTTAAACGCTGCTGTGGCGTCCCATGTCCAAGGGGGCGGATGAGGAGGCGGGAACGACACAGGAAGCCAACTGACGTCGGCTGCTGCGGTGGCGACCCCCTGCCAGCGGGTGACAGCGATGAGGAGATGGCAGCGACAAAGGACGCCAACTGACGTCAGCTGCTGCGGTGGCGCCCTCTGTCTACGGGCGCAAGCGAACGGAGAAAAGCAACCGACAGCAGAACCGGAGCGACGTCACTTACAGTAGCGCCTTCTGGTAGCGGATGGAGGCGAGGAGGAGAAGGTCCAGAAGGCTGGTTGCAAGCCAGGCAGCGGTGGTGAAGGCGTCTGCTGCTGGTTTGCGGTTGCCATGTCACCAAAGAGCCAATACTTGCGCGTATATGACGCTAGTCGTGCCTCGCCAGGAATCACGACTTGGTCTGTAACCGTTCAGTTGTTTCAACCAAGATATACAGATGTTTGTTCGCGTTATAGGACCCCCCCCCCATCACCCCCACCTACAAATGCTCATCGTATGTTGAATAATAATAATAATAATACACCTGGTATGTGCTTGTTCAACACGACCGGGTTCTGCATGTGCCTTCCCACCTCGCAAGCGTGTAGAAACCTTGTGTGCGAATCGTATTCGTTCGTGGTCATCATCACGTGGGGGCAGAACGCTTCCATGTCTATGACGTATTCGTCACGTGATCGCACGCGGCTTTCTCGGATCGGTTTGGGATTTATTACACGTATTGGGCGAAGGTGCACGCACCGGATATATTACTTTTCGGAACAACCGCATCGCGTCGTACGAAACTGCGATGAGTTTTATCGTAGAAAAGAACGAGTTGACGCAAGAATTTCTAAGCGTGTGCGAGGAAAAACGAACCGCTAGAGAACGTGACGTCGGCGCGCTGTTTCCGCGTTAACTTATTTTTTAGCTGTAGTTAAAATTTCTGTGTTCGACGGTAAAATGGATATATGCAAAGAATTTTCGAACGCGGGGAATATATTGATCGTAGTTCGTCTATAGACAACGCGGTTGATTTTTACCGAGTGTATATACGCGTCACAAGCTAGCGTGCCAAACTACACTAATATTTCTTTATGTACGGATGTAAAATTCATCAATTTCTGATGGAGGATTTAATCATTCGATAAATGTATAAATATCAGGTTTAGATTCGGATAAGTCTTACACACCGGTTACTCGTAATTAGACATTTACGTGCATTGACAAATAAATAACGTTCTGTGCCGTCGTCGGAATGAAATCTTTTTTAATTAACCTGTAAATATATATAATATTTCTTCGTAATTTGATTAATAACGGTGTCGAGTCGTGTAGATGCTGCTATAGGTCTACTGCGCGTGGACGGATTCCTCTTGCTTGGAAACGAGGTGACGCAGTAGCGGGAAATAAACAATTTTGTAAGGCGTGTTAATTACCCGACTGTTCGCTGTAATCTTTACAAAAGACGCTAGTAAAAACGCCCATAAATACTGTTAGATAACCACATACGATTATGTATCATTGTGTATATAAAATATCGTGTGCGAGCGAACGAAAGAGATAAAGAGTGACCGAAAGCAAAAGAGAGAGAGATAGAGAGAGAGAGAGAGAGAGAGAGAGAGAGAGAGAATGCAAAAGAGAGCGAGAAGACAAGAGAGAGAGAGATTGATAGATAGATAGATAGATAGATAGATAGATAGATCGATAGATAGATAGAGAGAGTGAGAGAGAGAGATAGAGATAGAGAGAGAGACAGACAGACAGAGCGAAAGAAAGAGCGATAGAGAGAGAGCGAGAGAGGGGAGAGAAAGAGAGAGAGAGAGAGAGAGAGAGAAAGAGAGAGAGAGAGAGAGAGAGAGAGAGAGAGAGAGAGAGAGAGAGAGAGAGAGAGAGAAAGAATAGATAGAGTGCGACGGTTGGGAGGTGATTTTCGGTCGAATACCCACTTTATTTGATAGATCGCAAATCGTTTCCTCGTATACACCCGCAATCCGGAGATACAGACTAAAACGTACGACACGATTATTCATTCTGTTGCCAGTAAACCGAATGTATAAACCGCCTAACTTGAAACAAAAGGCAGCTATACTAACGACTCTTGCGCACTCTTGCTCCCTCGGCGATGCGGATCCCTCTCATCTACTTCTGATATTATTTAAACGTGATTTTTATTCCTCCGTCTATTAACTTGCTTACGCCTTAACTATAGGCATATGATGTCCAAGTGTGCGATGAGTGTGTGTGGTGTGTGTGTGTGTGTGTGTGTGTGTGTGCGTGCGTGCGTGCGTGCGTGCGTGTGTGTGTGTGTGTGTGCGTACGTGCGTGCGTGCGTGTGTGTGCGCACGTGCGTGCGTGGATATTTATACGAAGCCGCGTGGTTCTGTCCGCGAAGAAATCTTGTCTCATGAAAAACATTTCAATATTGACTCGACTCAGGCGATTCCGCCGACCAAATTGCTAACACCTTCTTGCTTTACATCACCGTAAAAGTTCTTCTCTCGTTTCTCTCTTTCGCTCCCTTCTCTCTCTCTCTCTCTCGCTGCGGCTCAGCGTTCCAGATCACGTGCTGATGAAAAACAGGCGCCTCGCATCAATAAACAGCACTTGCTTGTTGATTCGACATAATCCGAACTATAATACTGGGCGTGGCGTAAGCGTTCGGTTGGCTTGTAAATCGTTATCAACAACAATCGCGCTTGTCGCTCGCATGAGATGCTGCTGCTGCTGCTGCTGCTGCTTCTATTACTACTGCTGCTAGCGGCTGCTGCTGACGCTGTCGCCGCCGCCGCTGCTGCTGTCGTTTCTGTTGCTGTTGTTACTGCTACCACCGCCGCTGCTGCTGTCACTTCTGTTGCTGCTGTTACAGCTGTTACTGCTGTCGTCGCCGCGCTGGCACTGCTGCTACTACTGCCCGGTTATTCTAACAAAAACATTGTTTTTCGAACGTCATAATTCCGCGCGGTGGACCGACAGCACGTTTTTGCGAAATAGAGAAGTGAAGAGAAAGAGAGCGGGCAGACGTAGCAATAGATAGAAAAATAAGATAGAAGGAAGAAAGAGATGGAGAGAGCGAAAGAGAGGGAAAGAAAGGCACAGAGAGAGACAGAGAGAGAGAGAGAGAGGCAGACACACAGAGCGACTCAGTGGGAGACGGAGAGAGTGAGACAGATGGAGACGGAGAGAATGAGAGAAGGAGAACGAGAGAAGGTGTTCCCCTAGAAACGAGTGGGCGTATGCGGGTTTGCTGCACCTTCCCAGAGAGGAAGGGTGTGTGGGAGGAAGGAAATGGAGGGGGGCGGTTTCTCCGGCCGCAGAGGGGAAGTCGACACGGTCTCTTTTGCGAACAGTATTAAAAATGTCGGCGAAATTGGCCAAATCACGTGCATGCGGCTGTTGGTACTGGACGAGAGTAAAAATAAGCTGCATGGGAGCGGTGTGCGATGCTGATGATGGGTGCTGCAGTAGCCTCTCCCTGTACAATACCGCGCCGCTGCGAACCCGCACGCCTGGCCGCCACATGCGCCACGCTATCAGCAGCGGCAACAGCAGCAGCAGCAACAGCAACAGCAACCGCAGCAGCAACAGCAGCAGCGGCAACAGCAACAGCAACAGCAGCAGGAGTCTATCAATATTGATAGACTCTTGACAGCAGCAGTAGCAGCAGCAGCAACAGCAACAGCAACAGCAGCAGCAACCGCAGCAGCAACAGCAGCATCAGCAACAGCAGCAGTAGCAGCAGCAGCAACAGCAGCAGCAGCAACAGCAACAGCAACAGCAGCAGTAGCAGCAGCAACAGCAGCAGCAGCAGCAACAGCAGCAGTAACACCAACAGCAACATCAGCAGCAGCAACATCAGCAGCAACGGCAGCATCAACATCAGCAACAGCAGCAGCAATGGCAGCAGCAACAGCAGCAGTAACACCAGCAACAGCAGCAGCAACGGCAGCAGCAACAGCAGCAGTAACACCAGCAACAGCAGCAGCAACAGCAGGCGTCGATCAGTCTGCGTTTGTATTGCTTGTCGTCACGCAACCCGACAAGGAATCGAATAAATTATAAATTATTAACAGGCTAATTAGAATAAATTAATTTAATAAGTTAATCAAAAAAATAAACTAATCATTTTATCTTACGCGATGTAAAATCAGGAGAACTTTAAAAACCCTGAACACGCAAAAGCCGGGCTAATTATTTGCCTGATTACGAAGAATAATCGCTTAACAAATTGACACATGCACGCACGTCGCGAAAACCCGTGATACGTCGCGAAAACCCGTGATATGTACGGCGTGCGAATTGACTACGGATTAAAAAGCGGAATTACTGTGGTTACTTATCCTGCTCCTATCGTCATCGCTGGAAATAATCATCTGAATATATATATATATATATATATATATATATATATATATATATAAACGTAGGTACAAACGTAACAACTGTAATGAATAGTATTATGTCGATGTCAGCTACGAGGCGTTAATTACAACATATCTGCGAGTCAGCGCAGCTCGTGTGAACGCCTAGCTGTGCGACCGTCAGCCATATATAGGAGTGCCACAAAAGATGGTCGGAAATAAATGCGTTCTCTGGCGAGTTTTAGTACTGAATGACAGTTTGTGTGCATGGCATACTAGTGCTGAGAGGGTCTATGTCCCCCAGGGTACTGCCGGAACGTACCCTGGGTACGGTCCGGTATACCGGAACGTACCCTGGTACTATCTAATATGCCGGACGGTACCTTGCCTACTCCACTAACGAGTCTAGGGAGTCAGTCGCCCACGCCTACTCCCTAACCCTAACCCTAACGCTAACCCTAACCCTAACCATATCAGATAGTTACCAGGGTACGTTCCGGTACACCAGACCGTACCCAGGGCACGTTCCGGCAGTACCCTGAAGGACATAGACCCTATGAGCCATACTAGTGTCAACTGCCATTTTGCGTGCAAACTATGACATATGTAACATCCGTGTAGCGCGCATGCACTAACGTTTAGACTTCGTCTACCTTGCGTCGCTCACATCTCACTTACTCCCTCCCCCCTATTTCTCTTTCTCTCTCACTCACTCACTCACTCACTCACTCTCTCTCTCCCTCACCTCTCTCTCTCTCTCTCTCTCTCTCTCTCTCTCCTCTCTCTTAACTTACTCTCTCTCTCTCACAGCACTCTCTCTCGCTCTCGCTTTCTCTCCTTTGTCAGCACATACCACAATCGCATATGCACCGCGTACACATGCAAACAAACACAGACAGACGACGAAATAGACGCTAACACGGCGCACGCAGCGCACGCACGCACGCACGCAAGCTCTCTGTCTCGCTTGACTTCTCTCCTTCTCTTCTTTTTCTCTCGTCCACTTCTCTTTCTTTATCTTCATCTCCCTCTCTCACCATCCCCCTCTCTCTGTCTGTCTGTCTCTCTCTCTCTCTCTCTCTCTCTCTCTCTCTTTCTCTCTCTTTCTCCACTCCCTTTCTCTTTCTCTCTCTCATTCTTTCCCTCTCCCTAGCTTACCACCTCTTTCCTTCTTTTCGCTCCGCCACCATTGCCCGTTAGAGGGCGGCAGTGTTACGTGTTTCAGTTCGAGTCGATGCTATCTGAGCGTTATTCGACAAATTGATTGACGATTGACAAGGGCTCTGGCAGACCTCGGCCACGCCGCCTCCGTTATTGACACGAGTGTAAAGGTCTATTTCTTCCATCGGATATTTATCTAAGAAACACAGCGAACATGTGCGCACAATTATCGCCCGATGAAAAATCTCTGTTTTCCTTTTCGCGTACAGCGCGTCGGCCAGGTTAATAACTTTTCCTGTTTTCAATGCAAGCAGCGCGATACAGATTGTGAAAATACGCCGGTGTTATTTGGTATGTTTGTGCGCCTACAAACAGTGTCGTAGGTGTTGAAGGAAAGGGTGGGAAGAGA